TGGGCATTCCTGTTGTACCTGAAGTGTAGATGTAAAAGAGCCGATCTGGAAGAGCAGAAAACAGGCATCAGGCCAACTGACCTCAGCTCTCTGAGAAAACCCTTCATAAAAAGGTGTTTTTAAGCTTTGTTCCTATCAGAGCACTTGAGGATGGGCTTTGACCACAGCTCAACGTCTGACACGGGCGCTGAAATGTACCCTAGGAGAAGGTCTGGATGTTGTCCATAGAGGTAAATAAATAAATGCATACAAAGAGTTTGCAGAGCTCTGAGGATGAGACCCACACACCTCTACACAAATGGTCCCGGAATTTGATGAGCTCTCCAGCTCAGACCCTAATTCCAAAGCAATCTATAGGAAAAGCTGAAGGTAGGGCAGTATACCCAAGGCCCTGCTAGGAAAACTTGAGTTTCTGCAGCACTGTTCCACCCATAGGAAACAAATTCCCAAATGAGAATCCTGGTTGATCTCACATGTGCATGGAAACCTCAGCTATGGAGAGTATTAATCCAGAATGCCTTTAAACCTGGATCTTATATATTTTTTTCTTTGCAAATCTCAGCTACTGAGAAACTTAATCCAGAATACCCTGGAACCACAGTCTTATGTTTTGTTCTTTTTCCCCATGTTTTTTTTTTTTCTATCTGTGACCCCAAACAGGGTTGATTTAACCCCTCTTTTGCTGTCTCCTAGCCCAGCTCTGAGTAGCGTAGTTTAGTGGGCATGGTGGTGATGGGTTGGACTCAATGATCTTTGAGGTCTCTTCCAACTCTGATGGAAATTCTGTGATACAGTTCTATGATTCTTATGGACATCCCACTAAGAAATAAGGACTGCTGATAAACACAACCATCCAAGCCTTTGGCTGGAATCTGAGTTGGTGGTGACTTCGATGCAGTGCTCAGAAGAGGATCCAGGTGCCTGGTCTCTGCAGGAACAACTTCTGGGTTGTAGTCACCGGAGCAGAACTTGGCCATGTTCTTCCCCAGCATCCCATTCACTTCGGTTATTGCTGCAACACAAAGCAAGAAAGGCTTTGCAAGAAATATAACATGGTAGGCAGTGGCAAAAGTAATCTGTGTGATGTCTTGTTGTGCCCCAAAACGTTGCCGCAATGAGAGGACCTGAAGATCTAGGTCCAGATACCAACCCGTTCTATTGTTCCATGGTTCTGTGCTCTTCAAGGTCCCTTCCAACTCAGCTATTCTATAGTGCTATGATCTTTAAGGACCCTTCCAACCCATTCCATGGCTCTATGACCTTCAAGGACCCTTCCAACTCAACCATCCTACAGTTCTATGATATTTAAGGACCCCTCCAACCCATCCTATGGCTCCATGATCTTTAAGGACCCTTCCAACCCAACCATTCCATGGTTCTATGATATTTAATGACCCCTCCAACCCATTCCATGGCTCTATGATCTTCAAGGACCCTTCCAACTCAACCATTCTACGCTTCTGTGATGTTTAAGGACCCCTCCAACCCATCCTATGGTTCTATGATCTTCAAGGACCCTTCCAACCCAGTCATTCCATGGTTCTATGATATGAAGATGATTCTCCATGATTCTATGATCACCCAGGCACCCAGGTGACCCACCTGAGGACAGCTCTCCTCCAAAAATCACCGCTTTGGCTCCTGACGTCGTTATGCAGTAAACCAGAGAATCCAAACGCAGATTGAAATTAATGAGGGCCGCTTCGATGCCGACTTTCGCCATCCCCAACCAGAGGCCAACAAACTCGGGGCGGCTCTCCATGAAGATGGCAATGACGTCCCCGAGGCGGAAGCCTTGCTGGTAGAAGAAGTTGGCCACGGCGTTGGAATACTCGTCCAGCCACCGGAAGGTCCACTTCTCACCCGTGGCCTCGTAAATCAGGGCCACTTTGTCGGGGTGCCGGCGGACGACATCCTGGAACATCTTGGGAATGGTGTTGTTGTTTTTTTGGTGCCATCGCAATTTGTACTTGACTCGTAGCAGCACCGAGAGGCCACTGAAGCAAAGAAAGAGAAGAAATAAGAAATCCAGAAGGATTTACAGCATTCTCCAGAAGGAATTGCAACGTTCTCCAGAAGGAAATATGATGCTGGGACACTCTTGGTGTTATCAGGAAGGGCACCAAGTTTTGTGGATGGCTCTTGGTCTACTTTACAATCTTTGGTTTATATTGAAATTAATTAATTTTTTTTTTTGTTCGTTTGTTTGTTTTGTTTCCTTTTAATATTGATATTTCTGAGTCAAATATAGCACCGATTTCCATATGGGAAAACGGATGCAGTGTGTGTACCCCATATGGGAGTCCCATTGGAATCCAACCCCTTGGACACCTCAACCACGCTGACACTGAACTTTGGACCACTGCTGTGCTCTGTGGAAAACGATGACTTTTAGCATTATGGTAAAAAAAGTCACAAAACCCAACAATTCTGGCACTTTGCCATGCCTCAAACCAGGGCTGATCCATAAATCTGAATGTTGATATCAACTCAAACAAGTGATGCTAAGCCACAGGTTTTTCTTTTAAGGATATGAGTAGGGAAAAAAAAAAGCTTTGCAATGATTGCTTTCACTGAGAAAGAAAATGTTTAGGCAGCACCTCTCTTGCCAGGATGTTTTTCTGCATTTCTGTGCTATTTATCCAGTTTTACGCCTTAGGATCTGTCATTATTTAAGTAATAAAGCCGACATCACCACTCATAAAGCGAAGCAAGGAAGAAAACAAAGCCAATGGTTCCCCTTTTGGCCCTGGGATGGTCGGAGGGGATGAAGAAAACAGATTTCAATGATCGTGTAACGAATGATGAATAATACATCAGAATATATCCTGAGACACAGCACCACAGATTCCATTTCCTTCTGGAGATGGGACAGATGGAGGCAGCGCGGCGCGGTTCTCTTCCGCCAACATCAAAGAGGGAATTACTGCGCCATGAGACTTTGGAAGAATCCCCAGAAACTCCAAACGTCGTTTAATATCAGCCCTTAAAGAAACCCCCGCAGCTCTGAGTGTCAATGAGCACAGAGGGGAGGGGGAAGGGATCCCACAAACGGAGCTGTTGGCCATGGTTGGGTTGCGCGGTGACCTTCCGCGGAGCGGTGCCAAGCGCAGAACAGAGGACCCTTTTGTCTCATGAGCCACACTTTCCAGATACTTAAAGGGTTTTATTCCGCCCGGTTTATTTTCTACCATTCTTCCCAGCTCGCCAGGCAATCGGGAGGAAACAGCTCTTCAAAGCTCAGTGACAGCCATGGCAAAGCCAGGCAGCACTGGCCAGGGCAACGGCCCTAAATCCTTACAAATTCAAAGCACATCCCCCCCAGAAATGGGCTAAAAACTGTGGAAATCAGTGAGACACCCACGACAGCTCCCAGGAGTAACAGTGGTCCTTCCTCATGCTGCTCCCATCCCCGAATTTCACTCCTCGAAGGCAGAGAGGAGAGCAAGAAACATCCTCACATCACCAGGGCTGAGCGGCTGAACTGGACTGGCACCAATGCTGGCACTGGGGTGGAACTGGAAGTGCGGGGATGGCAGTGGGGTGGGGGGTGGGATGTGCATCCTGCAGGGTATCACGTCCTGGGGGCCAAGCACTGGGAATTAGGCAGCAGTTACTGGGTACTGGGTGTAGGGAACGGGGCACTGGGTGCCACGCACTGGGCACCAGGTTCTGGGCACTGGGAAAAGGGCACTGGGCACCAGGTTTATGGGCACTGGGTGTTGGGTACTGGGTGCCAGGCACTGCATACTGGGCACCACATTCTGGGCACAGGGCACTGGGTACTGGGAATAGGATACTGGGCACTGGGAAGAGGACACTGAGTAGGAGACACTGGGTACTGGGCATCCGGTTCTGGGCACAGGGTACCAGGTTGTGGATACTGGGCACTGGGCACCAGATTCTGGGCACTGGGTAACAGGCACTGGGTGTAGTGTACTGGGCACTGGGTGCCAGACACTGGGTACTGGGTACCAGATTCTGAGCACAGGACACAGGGCACTGGGAAGAGGACACTGGGTGCCAGACATTGGGTACTGGGCACCAGATTCTGGGCACTGGGCACAGGGTACCAGGCTCTGGGAACAGGGCACTGGGCACCAGGTTCTGAATATTGGGCACCACATTCTGGGTACTGGGCACAGGGTAACAGGCACTGGGTGTAGAGTACTGGGCACCAAATTCTGGGAACAGGACACTGGGTACTGAGGACACTGGATACCAGGTTCTGGATACTGGGCACCAGATTTTGGGCACTAGGCAGATGGCACTGGGCACAGGGTACCAGGCACTGGGAACAGGGCACTGGGCACCAGGTTCTGAATACTGGGCACCAGATTCTGGGCACTGGGCACAGGGTAACAGGCACTGGGTGTAGGTTACCGGGCACCAGACTGTGTACCAGATACCGGGCACAGAGCACTGGGTACTGGGAACAGGGCACTGGCTGTGGGGCACGACTCACGCTGTACGGGCACAGAACCCCGAGCCCCGCATCACTTACAAGAGATCCCGCAGCGCCGTTTTGCAGATCACCCTCAGCAGCCTCCACCCTCCGCTTCCCAGGCCGATGCCCAGCGCTGCCGCCAGGCTCCAAACCCACGGAACCCCGAAGAACCTCATCAACCCCAGCGATCCCAGCGCCGCGGTGCAAACCCCCACCGGCTGCATGCTGCGGATGGAAGGAGCGGTCACAAATCCACCGGGCTCGAAAAATCCGCAACCCCGGCCCCGCTGTGACCCCTCCCGTCCTCCCACCCTCCCAATTCCCCCCCCTCAACCCCCCAGCCCCCAAATCCCCTCCGCCGTACCTCCGCACCGCTCCGCCGCCCGCAGCGGATCCGACCGCGGAGCTCCGTGCGGCGCTGCGGGGAAAGAGTGGGCTGTCCCCCGGTGGGCGGGACAATCCGGCTGCTCGCGATTTGATTGGTGGAGAGCACTGAGGGAGGTCCCTGATTGGGCGAGGAGAAGGGGCGGAGCTGTCCGTGGTAGGGAGCGGAGCGGAGCGGAACGGAGCGGAGCGGAGCGGTGGTTTCGCTTCGCTGTCCCCGCGGAGGAGAAGGGGAAATCGGGCAAAAAGCAGCGGGAAAAGGCGTTCGAGCCGTAATTCTAATAGAAAACGGAGTTGTCCTTTATATTCCTCCAGTTAATGCGGAGAGGAACGGAGGATTTATCCCACTGTCCTCCGTGCGAGGAAACCGGGACAGCCGCACCGGGAAAAGACTTTTTTTTTTTGGCCTTAAATCTAATAGAAAACGAGCTGCTGTTTGTTCCTTTGTTTGCATGTTTGCTTGTTCGCCCCGTTAAAACGCAGTGCTGGGCGCCGTCCCGTTGCTGTGCCCCATCTCTCATCCCCCAACATTGTGGGTTCCGTGCCAGGACCCAACGCAGCGCCGTCCCCGCATGCATTGACCCCTCGGTTTAATCCGATTGCCGCTATGAATAGCAGCCGGGAGCGGCGGGAGGGGGGGGGGAAGAAGCGCGGGGGCTGCGTGTCTCATCCCTCCCCATTTGGACACTCACTGCTCTGCACATCCCCCATTGGGAACCGTCATCCCCCCCCTCCCCACCCCCATGGCCTCTCTGTTCGCTGGGAAAGTGTTGATCGTCAACAACAGGGACCGGGATGAGGTGGAGACGGAGAGGGAGCTGTGTTTGGCCTTGGAGAACAGAGTGATGCTGCTGTATTTCGGGGCAGCAGAATGTCCGCGGTGCCGGAGCTTCGTGCCACGGCTGAAGGATTTCTTTGTGAGGTTGACAGATGAGTTCTACGTGGAACGGGCATCGCAGCTGTGTTTGGTGTACGTGTCCCGAGACGCCACCGCGCAGCAGGAGGAGGCCTTCCTGAAGTCCATGCCCAAGAGGTGGCTGTCGTTACCCTTCGGGGATGAGTTCAAGAGGTGGGTGGTGGGGTTGCGGGGGTTCTTTGAGGTCGTAGAAGTGCGGAATGATGGAGTGGTTGGGAGGGAAGGGACTGTAAGGATCATAGAATTGTAGGTTGGGTTGGGTGAGAAGGGAACTTAAAGATCACAGAATTATAGGTTGGGTTGGGTGGGAAGGGAACTCAAAGATCATGGGATGGTTTTGGTGGGAAGGGACCTTAAACATCACAGAATCGTGGAATCACAAAGTGGGTTCAGTCGGAAGGGATCTTAAAGATGACAGAATTGTGGAATCACAGAGTGGGTTCGATTGGAAGGGATCTTAAAGATCATAGAACCATATAATGTCTAGGGTTTGGGTTCAAAGGGTTCTTAAAGATGATAGAAACAGAGAATGGGTTGGGTTGGAAGGGACTTCAAAAATTATAGATTTGTAGAAACAGAACCGTAGAGACACAGAAATTCTTAGGCTGGGAGGGTCCTCAAAGATGATAGGATTATAGAGTCATAGAAAGATGGAATCATGGAATGGTTGGGCTGAGTGAAACCTTAAAGATCATAGAGTCATAGAATGACAGAATGGGTTGGGTTGGAAGGATCCTTAAAGGTCATAGAATCACAACATTTTAGGGTGGCTTGGGCTGGAAGTGACCTTGAAGATCATAGAACCATGAATGGTTTGGGTTGGAAGGGACCTTAAAGATCATCAAACAACAGAATCATAGGATTGTAGATTCACAGAATCCAAGATCTGTGGAATCACAGATTCACTGAATGTTGGGGGGAATCTTTAAAAACTGTAGAACCATAGAATGGTTTGGGTTGGGAGGGACCTTATGACCCATCCAGACCCAGTCCCAGTTGCCATGGGCTGATTGCCACACACTCAATTAGGAAATGTGATTATATTTACCATAACCTCACTAACGGCCGAGCGATCTGCAGGTAATGCTGAGAATTACTTCCAGCCCCTCTTGGAGCACGCTGCCATTTCAGACTCTGTACTTTAATGAATCCTGAGGAACTCTGGGTGCGGTGGGACGTCTGCAACGCGTCTCGAATTGAGATTTCTTCCCTTTGCAGGGAACTGGAGCTGCGCTTTGCGGTGTCTGAGGTGCCCAGGGTGGTGGTGCTGAAACCCAACGGGGATGTCATCGTCGGGAACGCCGTGGATGAGATCACCAGCATGGGTCCTGCCTGCTTCCAGAACTGGCAGGAGGCAGCCGAGCTGGTGGACAGAAATTTCCGACTGGCGGAAGATTTTGATGACTGTGCCAGGAGGAGCATCACCGACCCCCTCCGGCGCCTCAAGTACAAACTGGGCAAGGGGGAGAAAGCCGGGAGTGAAGAGGAGAAAGAGGATGGTGATGAGACTTCGTAGGGGCTGGTTGGGATGTCCCTTGGGTTGCTGACACAGTGTGGTCAACTGTGGGCATCCCTCGGGTTGTTGTCCCAACATGATTGATTGGGTGAGAGGGAGGAATCCAAGAGTGAAGAGGAGAAAGAGGATGGTGATGGGTCCTCACAGGGGCTGGTTGGGATGTCCCTTGGGCTGTTGTCCCTGTGTGATCAATTGGGAACATCTCTTGGGTTGTTGTCCCTATGTGATCAACTGGGGACTTCTTTTGGGTTGTTGTCCCTATGTGATCAACTGGGGACATCTCTTGGGTTGTTGTCCCTATGTGATCAACTGGGGACTTCTTTTGGGTTGTTGTCCCTATGTGATCAACTGGGGACATCTCTTGGGTTGTTGTATCTATGCGATCAACTGGGGACTTCTCTTGGGTTTTTGTCCCAATCTAATCAACTGGGGACATCTTTTGGGTTGCTGTCCCAATCTGATCAACTGGGGACATCTCTTGGGTTTTTGTCCCAATCTGATCAACTGGGGACTTCTTTTGGGTTGTTGTCCCTATATGATCAACTGGGGACATCTTTTGGGTTGTTGTCCCTATGTGATTGACTGAGGACAACACCAACATCTCTCTTTCTTCAAAAACTCTGCTAAAATTGTGTTTGTTTTCTGAAAGTCAAATCATTCTGAAACAAATTCATTCCGTCCCCTCGTGTGGCTCCTTGTGCCGCCCGTTGCTCATTTATGGGTTCTCCATTCCACCACAAGGGGAAGAACCAAGAATTTAGAAACTCATGGGATGCAAAGGATCTGGGCAATGCTGGCAGGCAGATGGAGAGGCTGTGCGAGGTCGGCTGGTTTGACTTGTTTTCTCTTTTAATCCTCTTTGCCCAGCAAGTTGGACAGGTAGGCAAGGAATAATCCCATAAAACAAATGGCTGGGAGGGACTCTGCCTTACAAACATCTTTCTCTGGGTGCTCCCCGTGTTCTGTATGGCACTGAGTGAAGAGATGCAAAGAAAACCTGAAAGTCCTTCCGGGTCACGTATCTGTGAAGGAGTGAAACTGTGCTCTGGTGGTCAATGAATGGGGCGATGCTGCATTTCCTCGGGGGCAACGCGCGACAGCTGGAGGAAAAAATAATGATTTTAATGACAAATAGCAAACCTGGAGAAATGGGAAGGGAGGTGGAGGGCAATGTTTTCACCTCAAAGTGAATACTGAGGCTATAAATTGGCACTCAGGTGCTGCTCATCCCCATGTCAATAGAAAGACACCCAACACTGGAATTTATTGAAAGAAAAATAACATAAGAGGTGGACTTTTACCAGCCCTACCCATTGGGGTTTTCATCCATTGGGTTTCTAAACCACTGGGTTTTTAACTCATTGAGTTTTTAACCCATTGGGTTTTTAACTCATTGACTTTTTAAGCCATTGAGTTTTTAACCTATTGGGCTTTTAACCCATTGTGCTTTTAACGGATTGGGGTTTTAACCCAATGGATTTTTCTCTGTTCAGATCCAAAAATTGCTCTTTTCTTGGTTATTCTGTGAAAAAAAAAAAAAAAAAAAAAAAAAACAACCAAAATAAACAAACAACGGGTTATTGTAGGAAAAAAACCCACAACAAATCCAGTGAGAAAATGACAACAAAGCACAAAGTGAAGTGGGAAGCATCGCTGTGCCAATGTTCTAATAAAAAGAAATGAGGTCTTTGATTCCTCTTCTTGATTTTCCATTTCTTTTTGTCCAAGTAGAAAATGCCACAACACTCATAAATCAACTTTGGAGAAAAGCATGGAATGAGGCCATCAGTAAGTAAAGCTGTGCGATAGGTGGGAAGCCAAAAAAGCAGAATTTGGGCAGGGGTCACTTTACAGATGTGATAAGAGGTGACGTTGAGCAATCCAAAGTAACTCTGTGTAGAATAGATTGGATCATTGTGGAGTCATAGAATGGGTTGGGTTGGAAGAGGCCTTAAAGATCATGGGACTGCAGAATGGGTTGGGTCTTCACAGAACCATGGAGTGGGTTGGGTTGGGTCCTCAAACAACACAGAACCACAGAATGGGTTGAGTTGGGTCCTCAAAGATAATAGAACCACGGAATGGGTTGGGTTGGGTCCTCAAAGGTTGTAGAACCATAGAATCATAGGATGGGTTGGGTTGGGGGAATGCTTAAGGATCATAGGACAGCTTGGGAAGTCCTGCACGAAGCTCAGCTTCAGAAGAGGTGGAAAAGAGCAGCGCTGTTTTTCTGCAGGAGAATTCAACGCGATAGAAACCTGAAACAGAAGGGAGGGGAAAACTCACTGCCCACCTCCACAGCTTCAGATCAGGATGGAGACGTATTCATTCGTTCCAAATATTATACCTCACAGTGGGTGTCACTCT